AGTCCTTCTCCTCAGGGCTGCAGAATATATTTAAGTACAGAACATATTTTTACTACATCTCTTTCAGCAGTGTTACCCCCCAGAGTCTTAAAAAAAGAAAGAAAAAAGAAAAGAGGGTAAAACAATAAGCTTAACTTTTCATACTGACCTGTTCAAGCGTCTTGCCAGCCCATCCAATGGCTTTCATCTTTCGCCTTACCTCCCACTGCTTCTGGTAGGACAAAATGCGGTTAAGAGGCCAGGGGTACGGGGAGCCGTACCTCGGGTGAGTAATCTGTGTTTAGAAACAGGAAGGTGCTGTGTTACCGTGTAAGAAAGTACACCCCAAACAGCTAATATTCACCTGTTTCTCTCGGAAAGGGAGCTGCAGGAGAGAACACAAGTGGTGCGATACACTGTGGTGGTTTGCACAGGATTTATTGGTCACAGCGTAACCACTTGAAAGTGTTGCTTCAGAAACACAGGCAAAACCCCATCTATTTTGTCAGCTCCCCCCATAACGACACAACTTCCCTAAAATGTATATGCAAGTGAAACCCAAGTGAAAAGACTGTATCATTAATGGTAGAAACCTCAATGTTTCATTTATGAGTAGGGACTTGCAATTGTGAGCGAAAGTGTTTTCTCATTAAATTTTAATTAAGATAAATGCTGCAGAACCACTCACCTCCTCTACCGTAACATCATCACACCACTGGAGATAGAGCTGGGAACAGAAAGAACACTTACTACAACTTCCTCATAGAGGAGAATACAGAGACAACTATTTCTCACTAGCAGAATTTTATTTCCTACGTTAGATTAAATTTCCATTTCATTCCTTCCCTAGGCCTCTGACTGTAGAGAAGAGATTAAAACGGGAAGGCAAGCCCAGTTGTATGTCCCTATTACGCTGGCACCAGGAGCAGGCTGAGACCGAAGGCCCCTTCCCGTCGCCCACATGGCACCCAGCTTGGTGCCCTCGGCAACCCGCAGCTTGCCAGCAATTCCAACACTGTTCCTACGCCAGGATCGTGTCACATTAACTGGCCACGGACACAAACAGCAAAGGAACCCAGCCACTCACTAGCTGCATGAGCATGCGCACCATGGAAGCTGGAGGCGGGGTGCCTGTCCAGCTGTTCCAGGGAAGGATCCCAGGAACCACTGGCATTTTCCACCTGTTACGTCTAGAGCTGCATGACGCACTTCAGGTAGATCAGGGGAATCATACCTGTGGCTCACATCTACAGGAACATTTCAGCAAGCAATCCATAGGGTCCAGAGAATGTATTCCTACCTCCTTTCACCTCAAAAGTTGATGACTAAGAATAAGCAGTATTTCCAGCACAGGGAAAATTCCCAAAGCTTCCTTGCCTATAATCACATATGTGGGTGTGTGGAGTTACTATGGCCTGCTGTACCTCTGCTGTCAAGAGCATATTATTGACTAATTCCATATAGGCTTTCATCTCGGCTTTCTGGACTTCATCCAACCCGTCGCTGAGAGAATGGCCCTAATGGGGAAAAGAAAAAAAAAAGAGACACACATGTAAGAAAGGATATTGGAATATTCAGCAATGCCCAGCCCAAGGACCTCTGAAGTTAGTGAGCTTTGGCTCTGATCCTGAGCTCTTACGCAGTTCAGGCACTTTTACATAAATACAGTTAACAAGAAATCATTGTAACAGAGCACAGCCAGTCTGCCCGACGGGCAGTCGGTTATCAGTGACAGGTGAGCACGGTTTGAGCACGCAGCCTCCTGGCTAGTGCTTCTCTGTGGCCAGGGGGAACCACAAACGTACATCTGTGACACAGCTTTATCAACTGCTTGGTAAAAAGATAGTATTTTTAAGGGGGGGTGGGGGCAATGGCAAATTTGAACAGTATCAGGATCTAAACCAGTCAGTTCTGGGTTTAAGAGCTCTGAGACCCAGAGACCAGGCATGTGGAAAAACAGCCTCAGAAAGTGGCACTGGTACACAGCCACCCCACACAGAACTTACTTCCAGAATTCGAGTCAATGACAAAAACATTTCCACGCCAACCAACCCCTATCACAGGATATCTTTCTTTTAAAATGGCACTAGGTCCCCGCACTGTTTGAACAAAGTACGTAACATCCTAGAAGAGGACCCCACATCAGCAGCACTAAGCGGGATTCACACGCCGTTCAGCAACCGAGGAAAGCAATGGACTATACCTTGGCTTTTACAAACTGGACTATGGGCCCAAGCTCAGATACTACTTGATTTCCCACGTGAATAAAGGGTACTTTGCCTGTAAAATGAGAAGTGTATTTCAGTAAGAGCTTCTTACATCTGTAAAACATCATTTGCAATTTTCAAAGCAATTAAATGCTGCAGGGACACCTGCACGTCAGTGGTTTCCAAACAAGCACAGGTGAAGTTCTGATGCACACAGCTCACCCAGCAAACGTTTGCAATAACAAACATCTCCCTCCTCCTGACCCTATTTTCCATGCGATCCTTGCAATCGTGTATTTTGAAGTTACTGCAATCTATCGACTTGTAGTCTAATAATGCATTTTGCTTTGCTGGAAAGACTTAATTCAACGTTTCTCTGAAGTACAGCTGGGAAATCCCAGGAAAACAGACAGAGCCTTGGGCTAGTTTTACACCACAAGGCGTTCCCACCCACCCTTCCAACCCACTAGCAGGGAACGGGCTGCAGAAAGGACGACAGGAGATATGGCAGTGTGCCCAGAAAAGCAAGCAGGGGGAAGTGCAAGCGCACGCCCAGCCAGGCAGGATCTTGACTCTCCCTCCTCCAGTCCTTCAGATTTCCAATGACTGGGACAGCCAGCTCCTTTGGCTGCCCCAGACTTCACCCTTTAGTTGTGAGCTGGTGTTTTTGAGCCTCCGTGGTCCTGGAGTCAGGAACAGGTTTTCAGATCCAGGGGCTGGGAGGTGGAAGGAGCTGCTTCATCATCATGGAAGCCAACGAGGGTTAAAGCTTAATATTAGTAAGGCTCAACGTTCAGCCTATGAAGCTGGGCCTTGAGGGTCCAGCATGAAGCAGGGCTAAATCAGATCGTCCTCACACAGAAACAGGGAAATGACTGTGTCACTGGTGGGACCTGTGGCGGTGTGAAGGATTCCTGAATCTGTATGCACGACCTCCTCTGCTTGGTAACTCTTCTTAGACGCAGAACTGAGCCAAGGCTTTAAGGCAGGCATGAGGAAGCCCTGTCACACCCAGCCAGCCCCGAAGAATGGCAGATGTTGCCTTACGCCCCTTTCTCCCAGGTCTCTGTGACACCACGGGCTCCTGCTCCAATCCACCCTAACCAGGCTGCTCATCCTGCAAATCTTCATCCCAGCGCAAGTGACAAACATCAACCTTGTACTTCAGACTAAACCTTTCGGGATTATGTGCATGATCAAAACAATCCATAACATGGAGACCAACACTGGATGTTTGGTATTACTGAAAACGTCCTCAAGCACAAGGGCAGTAAACAAGCCTGCCCAGCACAGCGGGGCACAGCACCCCTTCCCCTCTCACTGTGGGCAAACTCCGCTCTCGACAGACAGCCCGAAGTGCAGGATCAGCACCTGCTTGGCTCCAAGCACGTTACCAGCAATTCTCTTGCTCCTTCCACCAAAACACGAACTCCTACTGCTGGGCCTCGCTCACAGACGGTTCATGCTAACAGCAGCCTCAGTCATGGCTTTTATCATGAGATTCACCGTTCACTGGCTCGATCAGCCTCAGGGTAATAAATGAAGTGCATCCCACCAACAAAGGCTTCATCTGCATCCACACACTGCACATCGTGGGAGGAAACGCAGACCTCTCCGTGATGCAGAATTCCATGGTTTCAGTCAGACTGTACTTCACACACCACGGCAATCCTTTGGTATCATACTTCTGAATTCCTCAGAATGGGTTTTGTCATCACGATGCCCGTGAGATAAATAGCCATAACCTTCCCCCCAAAACGATAAGAGGCAGATCTTTGTTTGCTGCTACTGAGACAGAGGGTGGTGGGGAGGAAGAAGGGACCAAATTAAAACCTTGTCTGAACTATCACTGGAGAACAATATAAAGAAAGGTAAGTGAATACAAACAATAAGGAAGCCAGAAGTATGGGAAAAAAACATGACATGTATTTCTACCTACATTTAAAACCGAAGCAGTATCGTTTTCCCCCACGACCCTTGTTGTCAGCAGAAGAAGGAAGCGTTCAGACCCACGCTACAACATCTGATGCCAGCAAGCGCAGACGTGGAGTGCGAGCAGCAGAGAAGCGGGAGCATGCAACTGCCACCAGCCCTGCTCCTGCGCAGGCACGATGCTCCTCTGGGCACAGATTCAGCATTTCAAAGCTCCCCTTATTTACTAACAAATAATTTATATACCTCCATATTTTGCTGGTTTTTCACTGCTGCCCAGCGACTGTTCTTTTAAAAATGGCGGAATTCCACTGCTTTGACCAAGACAGCAGCAGCAGCATCCATACAGCTGGCAGACACGCACTGACAGGCACTTCCATCGGGCAGTCCTCAGGCAGAGCCAGGTAATCGGTACGTGGGTACCTCCTCACACAGCAGCAGTCTGCGACAGAGCACGAGGACTGCCAGCCTTCCACGCCCTGCATTCGGCAATTCTCTCTGCTTTTTAGGCAACCTTCTGGAGCTGGCCTCTGGACATTTTTCAGCAGTCATCTCCAGCAAAAGGTAGGCTCTGCATCCTTCTAATACTTAATTTATTGTTGGTGGGTTTGGATTATTTTTCCAGACAGTCTCAAGGATCAGAGGAAGATTTAAAATCACCTGTCACCCTTAACCGTGACAGTGCACCTTTCTGTCTTCTCCTGTTATCAGCATCCTGGCAATCATCTCCCAGACAGGGTAACAAAAGCTACTCCTCTGGTGCTGTCTCACCCCAGCAATGGGAAAATGTAACAGCATTCACTGGAATATTCCCTGGATGCAGAATAAAGCCACTTTTGGAAACGCCTTCCTTCTTGAGAACACAACTCTCGGGCATTTGAACATGCGAGTGCCACACACAGGTACCGCCGCGCTTACGCGTCGCGCCTCGTTGCTCTGCATTTGAGCGTTTCATTGTTCCAGAGGAGATGCTGCACTGGAGAGGAGGGAGGAGGCAGCCCGCGCGCAGCAGCGCTGACCGACTGTTATCAGCAAGACAAGCCACAGTTGCCATGGTACCAAAAGGGAGGTATAACGTAGTAATCTAAATGAAGCCACACTTACCAGATGGGGACATGTACTCGGCATTTGCCCTGCAAACCACCCGGATTGGCAGATTGCACATTTGCAGAAAGGCCTGGAAACAGAGAGTCGCATTTAAAAAGCATTACTACACCAGTGACAAATAAGCACGTTCTTCTCCGTACGTTTGACTGTGTTTTGGCCAGTTTTTTGCACCCCCTTACTGAAGTATAGCTCCTTGTGTACCCCTCTTAGAGAGAAGGGTAGATTAGGGAAAAACGAGGCTTACTAACTTCCTTAGATAACTCTTCAGCATCCAGTAATCGACTGAAATTCTTCTAATGAAATTTCACCTACTTTCACTGTTTTCCTTCACGACCAGCAAAGCAGCAGTGTCTGACAGACACGATTAGTGCTGGGCCGGCACAAAATGAAGTGACGTTTTGCCCCTCCTGAAAATCACAGTACTGAGGTCTTCAGGCTAAAGCTGGCGAACCAAGTTCACGTTGCGTAACGCAGCAAGCACACCAGCACCTTCCCACGGCGTATTTACGATAGCTGCCACCAGTTTTGCTCTATGATACTGTCAGAGCACAAGTCTGCTTTGGGAGGAAGTATTTATTATCTGTAATTTATGTGCATCATGGAGAGCATGAGTGATCAATTTACTGTTTCTTCCTATCCGTAACCTTAAAGCATCCTCAGTAGGATACCGATTCTTGTCAGCACCTGCCATCACCACAAAACCCTCAGTTTTCTGTTGAAACAGCAAAATATCAAGAAAAATACTTGCCGTTTGGACAGAACATGGCAAAATAAGGAACTTCTTAAACCTCCGGAGTCTCTCACAACTCCGCAGAAGTCCCACCATTCACTTTGGTTTTGCAATCAGACAGGCCAGAATTCCAGATTCCAAAATTACACCTATTTATCATTGTACTGCACAGTGGCTTGAGGTTAGAACAGCCTACACCCAGAGGGGTGCCACCACAAAGAAAAATGCTGCTGTAGCTTGGCACTTTCTACGTAAGCCTCCTCCTAGCGCTGCAGGTCACTGCACCTGGCACTAAGCTGCACTCTGACAGCTTTAGATGCCCAGACCCTAATCGCAGACATGAAGATAACCCAAACCTCACCCCTGCACTAAATGAGACTGTAAGGCATGAACTAACACTGGCGTCAGCCCCGTTCCTAACTTTGGGGCTTCTATAGTACCAATCAAACAAAAATAACCCAAACAGCTCCACTCCTTTCCCCTGCACTCTTCAAATCCTTTACTCCCAAACCCTAATCCAAGTGCCGATACTAACTCTATCCAGGGGAAAAAAATACAAAATCTTTGGTCCTTTTCCAACCAAATCCAAGAACTGCACAGTCCATTATGGCACCTGGCTCTTGCAGATTTAGATGACCTAACTCACACCCAAACCCACCTCAAAGCAGGGAGCTATGGTCACAAGCTGCTAGGCAAGGTATTGTTTAGGGCTGATGAGAGCCCACCGCAGGACTGTAGCGGTTGTGCAAAACCCACCACAAACACGGGTCTCTACAGCTTTTGATTTCCTCAGCCTAATTAACTCAAAGCACTGCTTAGGAGCCAATTATTACACGTACACGTGCAGATACATATATATATAGACATAGAGAGAGAGAGGGAGATAAGGAGAGGGTACCAGTCATAGTCAACATCAGCCCAATACCACAAGTCCTGCACTACTCAGCAATAAACTGGTCTCCGTAGTGCCAAAACCGCATCCCAACCAGAACCTCTCTCACTGCTTAATGGAGCAACTATGACCCAAAGAAAATACAAGGCACTGGCCACATCTGATACCACCCCACTTTCTGAGTCCACCAGATCCCACCAAAAGTCCATGCACTAGCTGTCTTAGCATCCCAAACTCCCTGCAAACAGTAATACCCAAATGACCGATTCTCAAACAGGAATTTAAGACACAGGTCTGCCTCAGTCCTAGATCTCTTCCTTTGCCTGCAGGCTCTGTAGGATCTAGCGATGTCCAGACTGTTCCAGCTACTGTGATATGCATCATGTCTTCTGCCCAAAGTGGGGCTTCATATGCAACTTTTTTTTTAAATAGCCAAGAGCCAAGGATGCAGAGACTTCGGTTTACATTACATACAGACTCCTGTGCCGTTGCTGGGCACAGTGCAACCCACCAAAAACACATACTGTAACTCAGCGGGTACGCTGACTTGGTTCTTCTGGAAGCCATACCAGTAGCTCACACCACCTCCTCAGCAGTGGAACCGATGGCATCAAACAACAGCTTCAAAGAGTTTCATCTTTAGGTGGGAGAGGTGGAATGAACTTGTACCCATGACTGCTGCATTTCATCTCAAAAATAAGTGAAGTTTCATTTGGTCTGGGCTTACCAAATTAATATCCTTCACAGGAAGGCACTGCACTAACGTTGCAATTCTGCATTAAGCTAGAGATTAATTCTGTTAATTGCATGTACTACTCTCACTGCAGGTTCAGAAGAAATAAACTCCAAACTGTGTTGGACTTAGGGCAGCACACGAATAACAGAGAAGCTTGTACGTGCAGAGACAGACTGAAGCAAAAGGAGGTGAATCAGAGAACTGTGTTTACCTCCTTCTCCTATCAGCCTGTCAAAAATGATCCATGCTGGCACAGAACACTTAGGTTACATGAGCTGCTTCAGCAAATTATTGCCTACTGTACGTTGTATTGTACACTGGCTCCTACACAGGACAAGGTTGCTCCCAAACACACAGTTTGGGACTGTGAAAAACAGTCCTCAGCACAGAGGCTAAACTATAAATAAAATCTTTTCAGTGTAAAGAGTTCAGCCAAGTTTCCATCACAAATCTGAATCTGACCTTTCTCTCTCCTGTTCCTCAGTACACATCCACAGAACAAGAAATAACAACCTTTATTAGCTTTGGCAGGGACATTCTACCTCAGTCTCTGGCCTAGCACAGAGGCGATTGAGAACACATTGCCATTTCGGCATCTTGGAAATGCAACCACACTGGGTCCCTGTGTCTTTTTCGATCTTCATGAAGAAAAGAGGAGAGAGGAGGCTAGAACTAGAATGAACTAGAATTAACTAAATAAAAATGTTCAATACTCTGCATAAAAAAAAGCAAATTCTAGAAAGTTCAGAGTTCAGTCAGGCTACACTCAATGAGATTTTAAAAAAGAAAAAAAAAGACACCCTAAAGTAAACACCAAACCAAAAACCAAAGAAAACTTCCCCGGAACAGTCATCTCCAGTTCTGATGAACATTTTGTAGATGGGAGACAACTGAGTTTGAGAAACCGAGGAGTGATTCACGACTAAACCAGGGCAAACCCACGTGGCTGTGCGGTCACCACAGCAGCCCTCCGGTGAGGTTCCGAAGCACTGACGGAACACGGAGCTGCCTCTCTAGCAGCCTTACCAGGCCCATTCCAGCAACCCCGTGTCAGTGCCCCTGTGCCAGCACCTGTCCGCTTCAGCCCTTGTCTACAACCAGAACCAGCTTTAGTTAGGGTGGTGAAACAGTGATGAAGTACAAAACTGAGAGAGAACAGAACAGCAAAACAGTTGACAACAATATCACTTAATGCCACACAATAAACCTAAAAATGAAAATTAAAAACTTACATCTTTAAAAAGACAGAAGTCCAGGGAATTAAAAGACCAGTATGCTGAGCTGTAATCCGTACCCAAAGCATGACCTATTCAATTTTAAGTGCTTTTTTTTAGCAGGAAAATGAAGGGAAGCTCCACCATAGGAGAGAAGTTTAATGCTGATCAGCTCTACACGGCTGAACTAATCATTACCTAGCGAAGTAGGCCAGTATCCATTTCTTGATGCAGCTTAAACGAACAGTCCCCTGGTTAACCTTCCAGCTGACTCAAAATACCTGTCACCTGCTAAGAGGAGACAGTGCTATCCCAAGCTATGAGGGCTCAGCCTAAGAAATGAGCCTTACAACTTGCACTGCTCGGAAAGTACTTACATTCTTTCACTGATGTGACTGACAGGATTTGGAAGTCATTAGTACTAACAACACAGGTGGTTTTGACTTTTCCAGCACAGTAAATGCATTGCATATTTATGGAAATTATGGTTTCTTTTAGAGAAAGATATGGACAAAGATCACGACCACTGCATTCCTATAAATGTCCACTGCCAGAAAACCTAATTTTGTTTTTCTGATCCATTCAATTAGATAAATTAGATTTTAGACAATAAGTGATGTTAGACAGTAAGTGGCATGAACTATTACCAAAATAGTTGAAATTGGTGCAGATCAAAGAAATCCTGCAGAAAGAATACAGGACAAAGCAGCGATTTTTGTGAGTCTTTGCCTCATTTAGTGCTTCAGCCCAGTGATCAAGAGAGGATTTGTTCCTTTTTTGAGCACTCACGGAGAATGTCAAGAGCCAGCACATTTGGTGTGCAGATGGGATCAGACTGCCGTAGCTTCCAGCTCTGATAAAAGACACAGTGGAGCACCAACCATTCCAGCTTGGAGCATCTCGATTCCCTTTGGGTACCTCACATAGATAATTTGAGCAGGCAAGTAAACCCTTGCTTTTCTTGTGAGAGAAACCATCAGCGAACGTGAGTGAGCTCAGGTCCTCCGAGTGCTTTTGGCGTGAAGGGCGCAGATTGAAGGCTGAAACCACCCCAGCGCAGCTCTGCTGAGATTTATGAAGATATCAACACCCCTTCAAAGACACAGCATCAAAAACTGAGCAATCTGAAAGATCAAGGGCCCAGGCTTATTCTAGTACAACAGAGATTATTGTTAACATCATAAATTTGGCTGATCACCTTAAAAAGGGACTGAAAGGGGCAACTGAAATCCAAGTAATACATAAGCTAGTTAACCAAGCCCTTGTGAAAATTCACCTAGAATAGTAAGCAAGACAGTGACATCAAAGCTAGAAACAAGACACTTAACTGAGCCTAACTGTCCTACCTCACAAAGATGCTTGTAATTCCAAAGAGCAGCATTAAATTTCCCATTCTCTTCTCCTCTGGACAAAAAAAATGTACTAGCACAGAACGAACATGGTGACTACTGTAGGCCACAACCTCGACCTCCTCCAGCACCTCAGATTCTCACACAAT